TGGGCCGACTGTATCTGTGGAGTTTGCACATTCTCCACCAGATGCTCCGGTTTTCTCCCACAGTCCAAAGATGTGCAAGTTAGGTGGATTGGCCATGCTAAATTGCCCATAGTGCTCAGGGATGTTGGAGGTTAGGTGCATTAGCCATTGGAATTGCAGAGTTACAGGGATAGGATAGAGGTATGGGTCTGGGTGGGATGCTCTTAGGAGAGTCAGTGTGACTTATTGGGCTAAATGGCCTGTTTCCACACTGTGGAGATTCTATAGGTTTAAGATGAGAGGGGAAAGAGTTAAAAGGGTCCTGAGGGGCAACTTTTTCACACAGAGCATTATGCATATATGGAACGAGCTGCCACAGGAAGTGGTAGAAGTGAGTACAATTACAACATTTAAAGACATTTGGACAGGTACATAGATAGGAAGGGTTTAGAGGGATATGGGCCAAATGCAGGCAAATGGGAATAGTTCAGTTTAGGAAAGTTGGTCGGCATGGACAAATGGACCAAAGGGCTTGTTTCCATGCTGTATGAAGCTATGACTCTGTAAGCTCTGGAATTCCCTCCTTCAACCTTTAACTCTATCTCTTGTCTTGTTTTAAGATACTTCTTAAAACCCATCCGATTAAAAAAGGCTTTGGTCATCTATCTTGAAAAGACCAGAATCTCATGCCTATCTCTAACTGTCATTGAGAGGGTACTGGTGAGCTGTTTTCTTGAACCATTGTAGTTAGCCCCCACCCTCACTGCAGATACATCCATAGTTTACAATAGGAAAGTGTTCCAGGTTTGTGGCCCAGCCAAAGTGAAGGCACAGCAATATAATCCCAAGTAACAATGGCTTGCGCAGGAGGTAACAGGTGTTGTAATGAAGTTGCTGCTGTTCTTCTCTGGCACGATGGATGTTGCAGGTTTGGAAGGTGCCCTCAAAGGATCCTTGAAAAGTTGCTGCAGTACATCTTGCACAGCTACACACTGTGTTATAGCATTTGATAACATACCTTCTGAGCAGCTGGGACTTGACCCAGAGGTAGAAAAACTATTCCTAAGCCAGGTATAATTTCTATCTGGAGTCATTTGTGGATTGTGGCAATTATTGATTTTTATCTATATGTTTTGGAGGGAAGGGTAGATCATGTCATCTCCTGCTAGTTTTATTCTTCTTATTACATTGCTCTGATTTTCTTATTTTGCCCATTTGTCTTTCATTATTCAGTCGTTTTTACTTTACTACAGATTGATTGAGAACTATCTACAGCTTTAATCAGCCCTCCAAAGAACAGGCTGGGGGTCCCCAGAAAAGGTCACTGGGCAATAATTATCCTTTGGACGAACTTCACCCGTATTTACTAGAAAGCTGGTTGCATCCAAAGTGAGTCAAAGAACTGTTGGGTCTGCACACTCTGGACAAGTCATGTTTAAGACAGACTTAACCTTACACTGAGGGTTATACCGCCTATTCTTCAGATCAAAAAATAAACGAGGTTCTTCCTCAGCATTTTCTGTTTTTAATTTCAGATTTCCAACATCCGCTTTTTAAAAAAACGTCATCAGCCTGGACTCCACAAATGCAATAGTTTCTGCGATGATTTGGGGTGTTAAAAACAAACTGGAGACTGTTTTCTTTATGGCATAAACAGCATCCCGCACCATTCTTGCATGCCAAGATCTAATATATTGCAGTCATTGGGAATGACGTATTATAATCTTTCACAATTGCAAAACAAACGGAAGCTTAGTCCAGAAACATCATCAGGGTAATCTAAAGGTTGGAGATTTTCAATGTTCCCCATTGCTGTGCCACGCTTGGTGACTGGCATCTTGTTGACTGGAGTCGCATAAATAAAGTGGACAGTGAACTCCTGAACATTACTGGACCACCTTGAACACGTTTTCGAAATCATGTCACATAATAAACCGTTTACATAAATCTGCTGCGTCCTGATCTATATAAATCCTGAACATATGCACGCCACAGCAATAGCTAATGTGTGGCCAGAGAGCTGAAACATGCGGTCAAACACCACATTGTCAATCATTGTAGCTTTCACTTCACTTGTTCACCTGTAAAATCACAAGCAGGAGACAGGCTCTGCATTGATAATCATGTATAACTGACCCCCTACACGTTATTTTCATTCTGACAATAATAACATCTTGAAATAAATCAAACTCCGAAGATACAGGTTCAGAAATGCACCCCACCCACACCACCTTACAAATGTCAAAATACAAAACCTTGGAGCAAAGCCTGTAGAAATAACTGGCGCAAATCTTGGGCCAGGTTTTGCAACGCATTTCAAAACTATGCAGATCTAGAGGTGTCCTGTGACGACCCAATCTGTCCCAAATGTTATCTGGCAAAACTCCAGATAATGGATTATAATGAACAGGGGGCAAGTGATCAATGCCTGTTAGCAGGGGAAGGAGACTGCAAAAGGTGGTGAATAAAACAGCGCTTTCGCTGATCTTAAAACAAAGCGGGGGAGGCACTACAGATTCTGAAGTATTGTTCTATAATCTGTAACCATGCGTTTTATGAATTCTATGTTCGGTATAAGGACATTTTCAACGCAATCAATTTGCTCGTTTCTCTCGATGATTGCCAGAAAGATGATTTTTTTTTTATAATCCCATTAGGGTCGCATTGAAAAAAAAGCTTCTTGTGTCAAAGCCAGGGCATTGACGTCAGTAGCTTTGACGTCAGCGGCTGCTCTCCCAAACCTGAGAGTGTTTGCTTTAGAAAGCTCAGAGCTCATCAATAAATAGGAGCTGGTACATAGACACTGAAAAGACAAGGGAACGAGGTGGGGGCATCTATCTGTTAAGGTTTGGGGGGAACACAAATAAATCTGAATTTGCTCCCTAATATTCCACCTCCACTGCACGTTATAGTTTATGCAGTAAGTAGTTTAAGAAAATTGGAAACAAAATAACAGACAGGACAGAAATATCTCCAAGTAGGAGCAAGCTTGACCGATTATGATCATTTGATTATGTGTGGCCAATGAATATATTAATGATGATTGAGGCATTTGTGTGTTCGCATTACTGTGTGGAGCTGTCTTGTCTCTGGGTTGAGTGGTATTCTGTTTAACACCATCTATTTACAGGGGAGCCGCTGGATTGAAGTGCAGCCTGTACTGTGTTAGTACATACTCCCGGTGGAGTTATTTCATTCATTCATTCGCAGACTAAGCCACGTTTAAGTGAAGCTTCCTAACGCGGAATAAAAAGAGACCTGATTAAACGGCAGCAGTTTGAAGGGGTTTAGCCGCCTTCTGACTCTCAGGGATCTTGTTGGAAGTAGCCCCAGACTCCGAATAAAACCATCGACCTCGAACCCCTGTCTCCTCTCTCCGTAGCTGCTGTTGGATCCTGCTGAGAATTTCAAGCATCTGCTGTTATCCCGGTATGTGAGCGATCAGTGGTCATAAGAATATTCCTAATGTTTAAACAAACGGAGTGTTAACCCGAGCTCTTGCAATCTGACAGGCGCAGTGTGTTTATAATGTTTTCTACGTGTGTGTATGTTGGTTGGGGTTAAGTCTTCAGAATAACAACAGGGGATTGTGTGGCGGTTTCGGGGAGAGAAGGGAACGTATCCCGCGTTCTCTGGAATCGGGTGGAGTGGTTCTGTTGGTTTTTAATAGAACCCGGAACGGTTCGGGGTGAAAAAGAAACGAGACAAAGTTGTGGTCAATCGACTGAGACATTCGCCGAGACAGCAATTGCGTATCGGCAGCGTGTTATCATTTTAATTTACCAACAATAAATGTCAAAGTCTTGTCAGTGGGCGTGAGAGCGGGGCCACGATTCCTATCAATCCCCAGTGCTCACCCCAGCTTCTCGGCTGTGATTGCCAGCACCCTCTGCTCCAATTCAAACCCTAACTTCTGGATGTTCGTCTCACGGGATTGATTCATTGAAACTTCAAGGCTTGTGCCGCCTGCGCCGCTTGAGGACACTGCAGAGGGACCGCTGCACAGAGGACGCCCCCTCTCCCTGCGTTTCATTTCAGGCTGAAGCTCACAGGCAATGTTAACCCAACAGAGTGGACTCAGCTGCAGTTCTGCAACGAAGCAAGCGTTTGTTTAAATTTAAAAAAAACACAACTTGAACCGGCGGGGAGGGACGGACACACTGGGAGGTGAAAGGGACCCAATCCGGGAGGCTGTGAGTGGAGAAAAATGCAGGGATGGCTTTTGCGAAGGACGTGAAGCAAGTTCTCTCTCTCACCCCCCCAACCCCCCGCCTCCCTCCACGTGAAATCTTCCGTTGTGATAAACAAGGAGCCCCGTCGCCAAAGGACCGTGTGCTGCTCTGTGTCTGTGTGCGTCTCTCTAACTAAAAGACTCTCCCTCTCTCTCCCGCATCTCCTCCTGGGCAAGATGTTGGCTGCACTGAGCTCGCTACTATTCAAAGTGGAGCCTGACATCCTCCAGGGGCTTCCCTCTCCCACCTCCCTCGCCCGGCAGATGTCAGCTCTCTGGCCAAGCTGCGGATGCCCAGCTCGGTTTGTGCCAGCTCTCATTAGGAGCTGGGCACCGTCAAACCACTAACCCAGTGAGGCTGGGCAAAAGGGCACAAACTAACTTTTCTGCCGAAAGAAACAAGCCACTGGAAGTAATCCTGGGCACACGTGATCCGGGATCCACAGCAGCAGGTCCTCCATCCCTCCCTCCCTCCTCCTCCCTTCGCCTCTGTGGCTGGGAAAGGCGCGGGTGTCTAAGTTTCATACTCCAAAGGTGAACGCAGGAGGAGATTGGGCTGCCAAGCCCCACCGCTGCCAGCGGCACTGCCAGGGGCACAGGAAGCCATTGGCACGGCCAGGGAGATCTTCAGTCGTCCTCCTGTCAGCTCCAGGCTGCACCGAGTCTCCCGGCTTTGTGGACAATCTTCACTTTGTACCTCCGCCCAGCCAGTCCTGAACCAGATAGAACAGCAACAGACATACACACGCACACTAAACCAGGCAGCAAGGAACATCGAAACATCTCACCGATGTCGAAGAAACGAAAAACTCTTGAAGGATCACCGGTCTCAGAAACCTCGCCATCTTTCGACGCTGGCGATCAAGGTAAGTGTCCGGCCCACAAGGTGCACTTTTACATTGTCAGTCTCTGACCGGCTGTAAGGCCATGCATAGGAATGCCCCAGTTGGCGAGGTGACCAACTCCCATACCCCCCTCCCCCCACCCCAGTCTCCAGACCCTCAGTCAGAACCTGATCATTCCTCTCGGTTCACCCCCCTCCCCCC